AATGGAAAAAGTTGCTGCAGGACAATTGGGCTCGTCTTCCGTCTGCTGCTCAATTCCTTGAACGCCTGCTCTCCTCTGACTTGCAGGGAACAGTGGAAGACGATTGGAACCAGTTTCTTCAGGTCTTGGACGACCTGCATAGAGAGGCTTTTTGGGAACTTAGTCAGACCTCAGAAGATTCTCGCATCAGCTGTGATGCTGCAGCTCGATGTCGGAACACTGTCGTCAAGGGTCACCCTCCGGCTCGGAAAGAGCGCAACACCAAGCGCTGTAACGCTAAGGTCAATGAAACTGATATGAAGCTGGTTAAGTGTCGAAAGCGGGTCGCCAGGATTTATGAATTGATCCGTCTCACTAAGGAACAAGTTTCAGGCTCTGAGTTATCTGCAGGGTCTCAGCATGTTGCGGCAAGAGCCAACTTGGTTCGACGTCTCAGGCTGGAATCTCAGCCGCCTCTTCGTGAACAGTTGTCTCTGCTCCGTAGGGCTAAGGCGGAACTTCAGGCCATGGAAACTCAGGGTCGGGATGATCGACTTTCCGGGTGGCGGCAGCAGTTCAATTCTGATGTGAAATTTGCTGGAAAATGGTTGAAGTGTTCTGGGTCCACCATGGGGATTCAGATCAAGGATGGCGATGGTACCAGCCGAAGCCCTCAAGAAGCGGCTGAAAAAATCCATAAATATTCAGCAGCTCAAAGCTGAGACGCCGCCTACTGAACAGATCACTGAGCAGCTTCTCCAAAACACTGTTTCCTTGCCCGAAGAGAGGTTCATAATCCCTTCGGTTCAGGAGCTTGTTAGTGTGGCTGCATCCATGCGGGGATCAGGTGGGGGAGACGCTTGGGTCGGCTCCGAACTCAGTTGTCTGCCGCCGGAAGCTTGGCAGATGTACAGGATCCTGGTTGAAAGGTGGCTGGCCGCTGGCAGAGTTCCTGAAGCCGTCAAAGCGGCCAGAACGGTTTTCTTGCCTAAGGAACACAAGGTCATTGAGGGTGTGCTGCAAGCGGGCGATGCCCGCCCTATCACGGTGTTATCATCTTGGTGGAGGGTATTGATAGGAACTTGGTTGAAGACTTCTCAAGCTCATCAATGGATTTCCCAGATTCTTCATCCGGTTGTGGTTTATGGCAAGCAAAGTGACAGTCAGGTTGCGGCCGGGCAGTTGCTCGAAGCGTACACCCAAGCTGGTTTCCTTTGTTCATTGGATTACACCAAATGTTTTGATTGCCTGCGGCCTTCATCTAGTGTTGCCATGTTCATCAAAACTGGTTTGGATTCCCGATTTTGTACCATCATCAAAGATCTTTGGGATTCTCATGTTCGATGGCCTTCTTGGGGGGGCACTGTGCATCACGAAGTTTTGGCCACTCACGGCCTTCCGATTCCTCAAGGGGAATGCCTGGGACCGATCACCTGCTGCCTCTGGCTGTCTGCTGGCCAGAGATACGTGGAAGCTCAAATGGGGGCTGCTCTGACAAGTTCCATTTACATGGACGACCGATCCTTCGTGGCTCGGTCTGCTGAGGAGTTGGTGCAAGCTCAGCGCTGCTGGGCGGACTGGAGTGGTAGGGTAGGGTTGCTTGAGTCTGCTTCTAAGACCCAAATGACAGCTCGTTCTCAGGCTCAGAAGCGATCGTTGCAGACTTTGATTCCTGCCGAATGGTTTCGCTCAGATATCACGATGCTGGGGGTTGTCACTAAGGGGGCCCCTAGGTGTAATGCCCAGCAAGAAAGGGATAGGCTGACTAAGGCTAAGCTCCGTCTGACTTCTTTGTCCACGCTTCGTCTTGGCTCTGGGCTCTTTGCCGTCTACGCTCGGGTTTTTTCCCTCAGTCTCTGTTCTTACGGGTGGCTGTCTCGTCTTCCTCGGAAAATGGATTGCGATGCTCTCTGGACCGCCGTCAAGAAAGGTCAGAAGGTGTTGTACTCTGCGAACACTTGGTTGCGTGCCATGGTCCATGGGGGTCTGAACCATCTGGACATCATCACGGCGTGCAACCTGTTCAGGGTCGTGTCGGTTTTGCGCTTTCGGGGTCAGGCGTTCTGGTCCAACGGGTCAGGTAGTCTCGTGGCTGAGTTGCGCAAGTGGTTCAAGGCCAGGAGGTTCTCGGAGGTGCGTCCTTGGGAGTGGAGTCATGTGGATGATCCGTCCATCCAGGTGTCTGCTTTGAACTCTGACAAGGTTCATCTCAAGCGCATGAGTCATCTCATCCGGGAAGGTTGGAGGTTCTACTGTTGGGACCAGTTTCTTCAAACGTCTCGTCATGAGATCTCTACGGTCAGTCATGTCCAGGCGTCTGATCTTAGGCAGGTCAAGTGGTCTGCGGTCAGGGCTTTGTCTGAGTCTTGCGCGGCGTGTCGCACGGTTGCGGTCGGGGGCACGGTGAGTCCGGCGTGGTTCCATGCTCGGGATGGGGAGCCCTTCTCCTCTTCTTGTCCTTGGTGTCCCGCCTTGGGGTCCTGGTTTCATGTGTGCTGGGAATGCGAGTTCAGTCCTCTTCTGGCGTCTCGTCCTCCCACTCCGTCTTTGGGTATCACTCGTCGTTTCGGTTGGAGTCCTAACCCTGGTCCTGTGCTGAAGTACCTCGCTGAGGTTCAGAAAGCGATCTGGGATCACCGGTATGGCCGGTCATAAGATGTCTGGAGCATGTTTCATGTGGCTGCGTGCCACGTTTCACTAAGGGTTCACTTGGCAGGCTCTCTGCCCACTTAGGCTTCTGTATCTGGGATCACCGGTTTGGCCGGTCTTAAGATGTCTGGAGCATGTTTCATGTGGCTGTGTACCACGTTTCACTAAGGTTTCACTTGGCAGGCTCTCTGCCCACTAAGGTTTCTGTATCTGGGATCACCGGTTTGGCCGGTCATTTGATGTCTGGGGCATGTTTCATGTGGCTGTGTGCCACGTTTCACTAAGGGTTCACTTGGCAGGCTCTCTGCCCACTAAGGCTTTTGTATCTGGGATCACCGGTTTGGCCGGTCATAAGATGTCTGGAGCATGTTTCATGTGGCTGTGTACCACGTTTCACTAAGGTTTCTCTTGGCAGGCTCTCTGCCCACTAAGGCTTCTGTGTCCATTTTGGACTCACCTAGGTTTGGCAACGTGCGCTGCCGGTTCGACGTCAGTGCATGCGATTGCAGCGGCTGGTTGCTTAGGTACGGTGTCACTAAGCAATTTGTGCTTGCATGTCTCAAACGGGCTCAAGACAAACGCAAACGAAAACGAATCATCAAACGCTTGAAAAACAAACGCTCAGTGAAAAAATGCAGTGATCTCAAACGCTGTCAGAAGTTGTTGAAACCACATGTTGCATGTGCTGCTAGAAAATGCAGCACGCACAGACTCGGAAAAGCACGCCTGAAACACAGACGATGTGCTTTGAAGCTTCGGATGAGATGGACATATGTTCGAACCAATGGCATGGATGTTTCCCTGTCATACTCTTTCCTCTATTCGGGTTTTCCGAGACCCGAAGAATGGCCACTTGGATATGATGCACTGAGCTGGTACAAGCCTGATGCGAACAATTGCATTTTTGCCTCTGAGTGGTTGCAAGGTGGATATAAACGAAGGACGCAAAGGAAAAAGAATTACAGTGACAATGACAACGCCGCGGTTAGGAGTTTGATCCAAGGTTTGAAGGTATGTCTTAACCAAGGTTCTTTTCCGAAAGAGTTTGAATCCGTGATGTCCTTGTTAGGTCAAGTGGTCGGTCAAAATTCACCCAAAAAGATGTTTAAGAAAAAGAAAACGGTGAAACAGGAGCCCAAACCTGACCCGTCTAGACAAGAGCAGCTGCGGGACAACAAAGATGAAGACTACACCATTCTTGAGACAGGATGGTGGAAAATGAATGGTGCGTGGAAACAGTATTGCAGAGACCCACAAACAGGATGGTGGTGGTGGGACAAGCGTGGTGACAAAGTTACCACAGTGGACCACAACCCCAGACATAATGAAAAGAAACAAGACACTGAGGTTCACAAACCTCAACAGAATACTCCAAACCTTGCCAAGGTGCGAGCTCTCAACCCAGTTGAATGGAACAAGCCAATCAAACTTGTGGATGCGCAAACAGTTTGCCAGGCCATTAAGGAAGGAAAAGACTGGGATGGAAATATTTGCTGCAGTCATGACAGACAGGTCACCCAAGAACTTCGTGACTTGTACACAAGCTTTGGTTTCACGAAAGGACTCACTTTGGTTTTGTCAGCTGATGCAATGAATCAGCTTGGCATCACACTGAGCAGGACCAGGCTTCAAAGGACAAACCAACATGCCAAGGTCGAAGACATTGCCTTGCTCGGTTTAGGCTCTGACTACCCTTGGAGAACTCACCCTGTTAAAGTTGATCCCAACAATGTTACTACGGTTGAAAGGGAATTGGTCAGAATTGTCGTTCCCTCTCACTATAGAGAACTCTTTGTATCTGAACCCCAAAAGGAACGTGTCGTTGATGTCATTTCCGACTTGGCCACTTTTGGATGTCGTGCACATGTCCTCACAGGTGGCAGGTGGGAAAGACAGGAATGGCAGAAACAAAGTTCAAGTTTGGTAGGATGGCTTAAGCTCACCAAAAAAGATGCGGAAACCCTCCTGGAAAAATCAGGGAAAAAAGGTATTTTTATCAATAAGAATATTGATACCTCTAAGGAACGTCCGCATTTTGTGTGGACCAAACACGAAAAAGATGAAACCGATGAAGCATACTACCAGAGATGCCTTCGTCTTTCAGGCGAGAGAGGCCAGCCGATGTGCTTACGGAAAGGGTTGGGAAATGACATTGGTTTCACAAAGAAATCAGATGAAGACATCGAAAAGAAACCCAAACGAATTCAGATTTCTGGAGTTCCCAGGGACTGGATGGCGGAAGAACTGGTTGATTTCCTCAAACAACAAGGATGGACCCAAATGACTATTCACAATAGAAGAAGGGTCAACAAGAAAATTTTTTGGAACGCCTGTGGAATGCCTCCTGTTGCATACCCATACGACCAGGGTCTTTGGGTGTATGAAGGTGCCACTGTGTTTACCATAATAGTCAACGACTCGGTCCATAAACCTGCAGCGCCAAACAGCACCACTGCAGTCAGAGGACCAAGGAAGACATGGGATGAAATTAAGGATCAGCCTCCACAGACGGCCAACACGCGGGGGCGCCCCGCGAAGAGGCAGGCCAAAGAACCCGATGAGCGACATCGGTCCAGATCTGCCGCTGAGAAGCCCGAAAAGGGCGATGAAAATAAGGACCCAATGGAAGTCGAAAAAACGCAGTTGGACTCTCAGACTCAGCCTGAAGCGATTGACAAGCAGAGTTCAAAGCCAACCTCGCAGTCTCTTGGTAATTTGACGGATGCCTTAACCCAAAACTGGACGCTGGCCGATCAAGGTGGATGCGGTGACTGTGGGTACCGGGCATTAATAGACAACTTTCATTATCAAACCACTGGTGAGACTCTTTCCAAAGAAGAATGCATCAAAAATGCCAATCTATTTCGTACGGAAGTGGTACGACATGTTCGCAAACATCAAGATAGGTACGAAAACCATGTCAGAGGTGGGAAAGAGGCCTTTCCTGCCTTTTGTGACAATGCGTTGAAGCAAACTCACTGGATATGTGGACTGCTGCTGCAAGCAGCAGCAGAGGTGAAATCATGCTGCATAGTGGTGTGGAATCAAAAAGATGAAGTTCTGGAAAGATTCACTTTCGCTCCTGAGTGGAGTCCACAGGGGATGCCCAGAATGAAAAAAGAAGCACCAATCCTGGTGGTGTACAGAAACGACAAACATTATCAATCCGTCCGACCACCCCAGGATCAGGACGGCATGACTAAGGTGCCCAAACACTGGGCGCGAGAGACAGCCAAACCCGAGGCCGAAGCACTTGGAGGCGCTGGACCAAGCGTTGGAGAATCGCCTAAAACCCTGCACACGCTCTCCCCTGGCTCTTCCCATGCTCCTTCGCTCCATACTCTCCCCGCCTCCTCCTTTCGCGGATCCTCGGGTGGGGGTGTGATGATCACGCGCGCGCCGTCCCTGCACTCCTTGGTTCCTTCCGCGTCTTCTCCTCCGCGTCTGCGCGCGGTTGTGCACGGCCATGCGGCGGGTGGTGGTTCTTCGGGTGCCCTTGCGCGACCCCATCCTCCGCGCTCCCCCTCTCTTCTTACCTTGGCTGCCTCCCCTCACTCCTGCGAACCTCCGCGTGCTGCCATCAAATCCCAGCAGTTGCAGCATCCGAGTGAAACGGTTGCAAGACCATTCAAAAGATGCAGGTTCAAGCAAAGCAGTTGTGACTCAAGGATTGAAGACATGAAGTTTCTTGCACCCTCTGAGAACGATAAAGCTTCGGTTTTATCTTTAACCTCAGAAACTCACCTCAATTTGACAGACAACCTGACCAAGGACCGGTCGGGTACTAAGGACAAAGGCGCAGTCAAAAATGACAACACAGAATGCGACTTTCGCCCTGACACTGCTCCATATCCTCGACACCTCAAGCGGCTGGATGCTAAGACGCTTGCCAAACCGCAAGGACCTCAGGTATGGGTTTGTCCGCTGCCTGACTGCCGGCATGAAATCAGAATTCCTGCAGGTTTGCAAGCGAGAGCCAAGCTTCAAGCTGCAAAAAGTTCACACCTGAAAAATAGACATACAGATTCCGAAAGAGCTGAATGCCCGCGACTCGGTGCTCAAACTCAGATCACAGTCCCGACCTCGGAACTTCCTGAAAGTGGCAGAGCCTGGAGTTGCCCAGAATGCGGGAAAGGACTCCCACTGTTGCCAAAAGTTTGGCACGAAGCTAGTGTCCGCAAACATTTTGCCGAGGCACACCCTGACACAAATCCAACTCAGGCGTACAGGAAGAAACAAAGAACTGACAAAGGCCTTCGAGCTCGTATGAAACTGCGAGGCAGACATATAGGTCAGCTCAAACAACAGAAGGTCGCTGACAACCTGAAAGTTTGGGCTCCGCAAACGGGGCATGATGTTCGCCAAATTCTTCTCAAACATAACCCCAAAGAAGAGAGACGCAAACTTGATTTGACGTCCGTGCTTGTTTGTGCCAAATGCAGACGAAAAGGGACACCATGTAGATTCAAAACCACCGCATGCACTGATGAAACTCAACCTATCCCGACTCAATTGCTGGGTTGGATCCGAAACATGGCTTTGCGACACCCTGCGAACCAAGGTGCCATCAGAAACGGACTTGGTATGACTGAAGCCGAGGTTGCAAATGCAAACTTCCAAACCAAAAAAAGAGTCAACGGTAAAGGGCCAGCCAAGTGGCTTAGCGGTCCGTTTGCCACCACTTTTCAGGCGGCGCAAGCTGCAGGGCACTTAGTTACTGAGGTCCTTCCGCCGGATGCCATGCGCCACCCGGACTCCACTGCTAAAAAGTTTCCCAAGGGATACCTGACCTGTAAAATTTGCCACAAGGTTAATCCACTTGGTGCTGTCAAAATCTGGACGAATCCATGCCTGGGACATGATCCCACCTCCAAAGGTTTCCAGTCTCAGAAAAGATATTGGCAGTCTTTAACTAAAACCCAAAAAAAAGCCCTCAGTCAAGCATGGGGGAAGACTCTGCAGCAGGGGGAGGAGCTTTTTGCCTCCCAATCCTCCAACAAGCGCAGCCGTAGAGCCAAAGAACATGACCATAATGATAAGGTTGCTGTGAGAATTGGTGAAGCGTCCCATCCAGGACCAAGATCACGAAAATTGCGCAACTTGGATCAACATGTGTCAGTTTGGACATGCAACACTCAAGGACCCAAACAATCGTGGACCTTACAACAGCTGCTCCAAACCCAGGAGCAGGCACCTCAGATTGTGCTGCTTCAGGAATGCTCTTTTAGCCAGGCTGAATGGACCACATTTCAAAAAACTTGTTGGTCTGTGGGGTACAGAAGTTTTTTCTCCGGTGCGCAAAGCACCGTCAATCGACACTACGGAGGAGCTGCAGTCTTGGTTAAATCTTCACTACCTTGTAGACCGGCCTGGTCACACACTCACAAAGGAGGTAGTGCCCAAGCTGTGTGGGTGGGATCAACTCTGGTCATCTCCACTTACCTGGCTCCTAACAGTGATGCAGAAACCGTGAGTGCAGCTGTGGCTCAAACTGTCCACTCTCTCGCTCCAAGACATCGTTTTATTTTGGGGGGGATTACAATGCCACACCCGAAGAGAATCCCTTTCTTCATTTCTTGATTCCTAGGGAATTTCGTATTCATGCCACTCAAACCCCAACGCGGTGGCAAGGAAACCGCGATATTGACTACTATATCAGTAACCTTGAGCCCACTGAGGTCGAAACGCTTCCTGATGTTGTAGCCGACCACAAAATTGTCAAAACTTTTTTCGATTTATCTACCGAACCTGTTTTAGGTTTCCAACAAGCCAACATTCCTAGAATCCTCCCGAAGGACCCGGAAGTTGCTGAACGAATCCAAATCAAATTGGCTCAGCTCTGGCCGCAGTTTTCCACACAACTTCCAGAGCGATGGTCAGTCAATGTTGACCAGGACTGGCAGATGCTTTCGCAAACTTTTTTTCAAGCCCTAGTTTGTGCAGTCAGGGCTGCTGCCCCTGACATGCTGCAGCGAGTGTCTCCGGCCTTACTGAGGAAAGGAAAGGCCACTGAGGTCTCTCTTAAACAGAAAGAACACATGAAACGACATCCTGCTGGAGCTATGGCTACTCACCGCCAAAGAGTTCTGCGCAGATTGATTGGAAGGTTGCGGGAAGCCCAGCGAAACTTGGATCAAGACAGGCAAAATATCACTGAAAGCCGAGTTCTCTGGAATAAAATCAGACGGTGTTCTATGTACAACCATGATTGGGGTATACAAAGAAACCTTCGGCATCTTGAAACGCTTTTGGAACGGTTCAATCATGAAGATGACTACACCAGACTTCAACGATGGAGAAACAACATGGAACATGACAAGGCTGCATACAGGTGGCTGCGACATAGATCTGTTCCCATGTGCAATGCGGTTAAGAAAACCAAAGACTCTGTTCCTAGTCACTCCACCCAAGACAGCCTGAGGATTCTCAGGGAATTTTGGGCCGATATTTGGAATAGACGTCAAATCTCTTGGGATGATATTTGGGATGATTTGGTTACTCACACTCCACCACGCCCTGCTCCTGACAGCTGGCCAAGCCTCACACCGGAACAACTCCGTTCTGCCACCAAGTGTAGCCGCGGCAGTGCGCCGGGGCTTGACGGCTGGAGAGCTGAGGAACTTAGTTTGTTCAGTGACGAAATGTGGCAGGTCATGTCCGGGTTCTATGATCATTGTGAAGAGCTCGGAAACATTCCTACCATATGGCGATGTGTTCGCCAAGTGCATATCCCGAAAGGGAAACCACCTGAAGCTGACGGCAGCATGCTGGCGGACAACATGCGTCCCATAGCTGTGATGTCGATAATCTGGCGAATCTGCAGCCGAGCCAGATTCAAACAAACTGAGGTTCAGGAATGGATCCACACATCCACCCCCGAATTCATGTTTGGGGGAATTCCCCAAAAAGGTGTTGAGGATGCTATCTCTCACATAATCCTCAAAGACATGCATAGCTGGCCGGTTGGTACACTTGACCTGACAAAAGCTTTCGATTATTCTGACCCTGAGATAATCTGCAAACTCTTTGTCCACCAAGGTATGCCGCGCAAAGCTGCACGCATGTTGTTAAGCATGTGGAGCGAACAAATCCGTTTTCTTCAGCTCCATGACGAATTTTTCCCAAACAACCATGTTGTCAAGCGCTCCCTGCCGCAAGGTGACTGCTTTAGCATGTTAGGCATGTGTGTTTTGCTTACTCCCATTGCCAATCACATTCAGAGAAAATACCCTTGTTGCGTTCAAGCTTTATATGCCGATGATCGTTCTTTCACTTGTTCCACTGCGACTGAAATATGGCAAGTTCGAAATGAATGGCATGTTTGGAGCAATAAGGTTGGTCTTCAAGAAAACCCCACCAAAGAGCAATATTACCACCGCAACGTTCAAGGTTGCCGATCTCTCGAGGATGCCGGCTGTCCTCCAGAAACAGTTTCCACTTCCATCACCTTGTTGGGATTCCAGTTCATGGGAGTGACCCAAAGAAAAGCCAAAGACCGAGAACTGACAAGACTCACTGAGGCCAAAGAAGTTCTTCGAAAATGTAGGTGCCTCCCAGGTTCCAAAACACGTAAAGCTGCAGTTGCCAGGGTTTGTGCCCCAGCAAAAGCAAGTTGGGGATGGCTGTTTCGAAGACCCACTCATGCTGAAAGCAACGCTTTCTTTCAGGGAGCAAAAGCGCTGCATCAGTGGCCAAAGCAGTCAGCCGTACCTTTACTCCAAATTTTTACTGGCCATTGGTGGGACTTAGGTTTTGCTGCCACGGTTACGACTCTCCGAGTCCTCACCCGCTATGTTCACAAAACACAGATGCAGTTGCAAAACTGGCCACCCAAAATGAGTGGCTGGACGGGTAGCTTTAGAAAAGGCATGCAAGAACTTGGGTTCGCTGAGGCTGGTAGTTGGACCTGGACGCACCCGATGCTTGAAACTATTCAGATTCAACCAACCACGCTGCCTGAAAAGGCGACCGAAGTGCTGTCACATAGGCTCAGAGATGCTTGGCGAATCAGAAAATATGAGGAATTCTTGGAACTTGACCGACGCGACTCAACGGTTTGTGCAGACATTCCATGTGACCTGACCCGCATTAATATTCTGCGCAAGAAAAAACTCAACAGTCACGAACTGGCTGTTGTAACTGGTGCTTTCATTTCACCTCAATGTCGAAATGCCATGGGAGGTGCTGAAGAAACATGCCCTTATTGCCAACATGTTTGTGCCACTGTGCAGCACATGCTTTGGGAATGTACTCAGAACCCACACCGTGATCCTACTATTAGACCCCACGATGTGCTGCAGGAAAGACTCGCATGGCCCACTACTGATCCTACTAAGGTGGACCATGACAACAAACTTCTAAGGTTTGCAGCTGCAACACGTGCTGATGTGTTGCTGCAGCGCCACGACGACTAGAACCACCTCCATTCTATTCTGGCGATCGCCTCTGGCCTGCGCTGCGGCTGCGGGCAAGTGCGGGCAGCGTCATTGTCTACATCATCATCTACAAAATACTACGGGCGTTTTCTGTCAAAGTGCCATAGAGAGCGCACAGAACGACCATCTCACGGTGGCGCAATCTTTGATTGACAATCGGGAAGCACATATTGAGAGGTTGCGAACTCTCTTTGAAGAGTTGGGCCACTTGGCCGCACTGTGAGTGGATGGTGCTGAGGTGATGAGTTCGGACATGGAAAAACAACCCGGTGGATGAAATCATATGAAACCGCTTTACAACCTTTGTTCCGTTTTTTGATCAGCAAACGTGATGAAAATCCACATTTTGTTTTTCAGTTGTTGTGGTGTGTGTGTGTCTGCAGGGTTTTCGATTTGAACAAATGCAGAAGGACCCTGGATGCAAACCAACACGGAATTACTTGAAACATGTTAAAACGATTGGTTCCGTTGCCCGGAGGGAACCAGTGCCCGTGGCCCCGCAGTAGTGCTGCTGTAGGCACCGATTGTGGCATTACCTTCCATGCGTTCGAAGAAAAAATGGCTGACCCGGCTGTGCGATGCTGGGTGAAAAATACGCGGTAATTTTACTGCATATTATTCATGATCTGGATATGGGTACAATACCTGTGACATCTTCCTCCCACCAGGACAAGTCATATTTTCACATTATTCAGTTTCATGGCAGGATTTTTTTGTGAACCTCCCGGAATATGAACTATGAAAACTGCTAGGATTTTCCATTTTCCATTGCCATGTTTATATATACAAGAAGCAACTGTTGTTTTACACACTGCCCAGGAGAGTATTTCGAGACTTTGGGGATCAACGTTTATGATACTTGGCTGCATCTACATCTTTCCCTAGGACCGAGTGCAATGAGTATGGAGTATCACACATGTTCATCATGTCTCGACCTTGAAGTTCTGAATGTAATGTAGACTAACAACACTTTATTCGGTGGATTGTAGCCACACACTGGCCATAATATACTTCGGACTCTAGGCCGTAAGTGCGTTCATGTTCATCAAAAGTGACACGTTATTCGGTGGGATCAGCAAACCACCAGTTTCAATTTAGGCTGTTTTTTACAGCGACTGGGATGATCGCAGGCTAGGTGCAGTTCTACCACTGTGAAACCACAATCATAACATTGACTCAGCCACGAGCCAAATTCTGTCATTTGGATCCAACTGAATCCATTTGAGGGGTGCTTCCGACGTCAACCGTAGACACTTGGTGGTGGACTACCTGTAGACCACAAAGCGTTGGATTTTAGTGGCCCCAAGTTTGACCCGAAAGTGCCCCCATCCCGCCTTTGCGCTATCCCCAAAAGGGATTCACAACCCCCGCGAGGGTTTGATGCTGGTTACATGTCGGTTACTCACACCAAAAAGGAATGCTAAGATGTTCCAAGATCTTCTAAGGTCTACAATATACAAATACAATATATCTATAATTATCTATCTATATCTATATAATATATATATACCTATATATCTATATCTATATCGAAAAATCTATATATCTATATATCAAAATATCTATATATCTATATATCTATATCTGATGATATATATATATATATGTGTATATATATATAGGTCCTCCAAAGAGCCTGTGGCCGGCATGATCCAACAGGAATTTTCTTGGGGCCTTGCTGCTACCCAGCTGGCCGTTGGTCGGATCAGACCGCATCCCACTTGAACCGTGCGGTCTAATAATGCCGAATCAGTTATAGTTAGAATTATAATATTTATAATTATACTTATAATGACTATACTTATAATACTTATAATACTTATAGTTATAATTTTAATCCTATCCTACCATCCCCCTGTTACAATGTCATCTGCAATTACCACTAATTACCATGTGGAATATGTATCTGTGCATTATGATCCTCCAGGCAAATATACCAGTTCCGTGGGTTGAAGACGGTAGTAAGTAGGACACACCTACAGCTTATGGTTCTACTTTCTGATGGTTAAACATCCTTTTTGGCCGACTAAATCATATCATATTCTTTAGTTCTTCATTTTGATAGCTATTAACATCATGATTTGTAATCACACATGGCAATCAAAATCCTGATGAATCTGTTGCTCATGGGGTTACAGTCTATATAATCGGGTGATTTTCCAGCTAGACATGTTTGGTTTCCAGGCTGGGGAAGGTGTCATTGTTATGGTAGGACACACCTAGAAATGGCCCACCATTTCCCACAACGCCCTGAGGACGCATGGTCCTTCTTCAAACTCTTGGATGCGGACGGTGGCGGTTGCGTGGAGGCAGAGGACGCTGAGCCGTATGCAGCTTGGGGAGCTTGGGGTTAGGATGGCTTTGGGAGATTGTTAAATAGTATTTAGTACCCCCAGATAGAAAAGTGGTGGATGATCTACATGATTTTTGTGGGGCTTTACTTTTTTCTATCTTTGAGGGGTTACAAAAAAATCATGACTGATATGCTTGGCCCAGGATTTTCCAACTCTTGGGACGCCATAAAGGCATCACTGGGAACAAGACAACATGATTCCTGTGATTACTGGGAAGGATACGAATTGATACAAATATATAATATACAAATGATTGGTTTTCATCTGGGGATAGGATAAACCATTTAGCGACTGGGCCGGTTCGGAAGATGGTAGGAACATGCCTGTTGCTGATCTCTTCAGGGATTTTTTTCGCATCTCAGAATCTCAGTATGTGTTGCCCTTCAATCTTTGGTGCAGTTGATGAAGGGACAGTCCAATTTTATGTACTTTTGTGAATGGCGGCACTGAAAGTCCCCAAGGGATCATCACCACTTCAAGCCACTCAACCAGCAAGCCACGCATTCGCATTTTATATCATTTTATCCCATTATATAAGCATCCATAGACATCCATAAACACCCATAAACACCCATAAACACCTATAAACACCTATAAACATCCTTAAACATCCATACCAAGATCAGAACATATCTTACCACCCCCCAGGATCAGAAGCTATCTTAGTTTCGACCTTCGCCTTTGCTTAAGAAAACTTCCTCCGCCGCTAGGAGTTCTTTGAGGGCTGCTTGAGGTTTCGGGGCCAGGCGCGGGCCGTTGAGGTGGGGAAAGTGCTTCAAGATCAGCAGTGGCTCATCAGGAGCCACGGCGGCTGGGCGGAGCTGGGAACTGTGGATCTGTATGGAATTGCGACCGAATGAGCATCGGACATGGGGGGGGGTTCAGATGGTTTAACCATCCGGAAATGTATAAAAATGTAGAGCTATATATATATAATAACCAACTGATATGATGTTTTACATACCGCCAACTTTTGGGATCATCAAAATGAAGGGAAATCCACAACTAAAAAACCAAGAGATTCGTGGGATTCTTGGGCCGAAGTCATAGGAGGCGCGTTTGCGACTCCCAAGAATCAAGGCACCACGCCGGAATGGACCGGCTTTGAATGTGTATGTCTATAATTGTGTGATGTGGTAAAAACATTTTTAAACCATGCCCCAAATCACCCTAAATAGGTGATATAAACCATTCCCAAATGGGTGGAAAAAATGTTTTAACCACATTATATGAAAGGTGCTAAATATTAGTATGATGAACTGCATGCATCCGCCCAGTCACTCTTTGGCAGGAAGAGCCGTTGAAATTTCATGAATTTTCCTTAGCTTTCATGAGCAGCCAGATCTCCCAGTCACTGAGTCGGGTCTTGACATCAATCCTGATGCATTTGATATAGTGTATTGAATTTTGCCATGCGATGCAACAGGAGCCAAAGTAAGTTCCAATCCTTTGTGGCAGAGGAACTGAACTCCCTGCAACTTCGGTTTTCGGGGCTGGTGGATCTGATCTCAGCCACCAGCCCGAGCATGTCAAGGATCCACGGCAACGACGATGGGACGCACGCGCGAACGCGCGAGCTCTAAGACGTTCCACAACGAAATTCGGTCACAGCCAATGGATGGAAAGTGCCTGAGGTGGTTCCGCTGTCTTCCAGTCTACCATGGTGTTTCCATGGATATTTCAGGATGATTCTACAGTTTTACATCTCCTGAATAGCGATGCTGCCAAGCAGGCCGCAGGTCTCACAATGATCCGTCGTGGCGCATCCACCAGTCGCACCAGCACTTCCAATGGCGTATTTACAGATGACTTACATTGACTTACTTATTAAAAACGGTGATTTTCCATATCTGAAATTACCAATACGGGTAACTCATGGTAATCCTAATGACCACAAGCAGGGCCGACTTGGAGGCGTGCGGCTTGCCACAGACCAGGCCATGCAGGAACTGCATCGGTCGAATCGGTCGTTTCTTTTTCAAAGGGTAGATGTGCGGTCAAAAAAAACAAAATGAGGATCCCCAAATGCATCAAACTTGGTCTGAAGATTCTGAAGGCGATGCAGACACAGAGAGAGAGAAAAATGAATCAATGTGCTATATATAATATATATATATGTATATAAAACATTATGTAATCATGCGCAAGCTACAAAAGATGGTGTTAATATACTAGTACCATGCTACTCTGTTGATTCATTAGTGGCGCCCTATTTTGAGACGAATCGATGTGAAGCTGTTCCAAAATAATGATAGCCTGCTTTGCAGCCGCAAGAACCAGCAACATGAGCCTTCACACCGCCAGTGGACATGTTGTAGCCCCCAAAGCGGATTGTTTGCGTGCCACCATGCAGCAAAAGCCGGTGCGGCAAAGACTACCACGTCACAAGTGGAGAGATTCCATGAGACGGGGAATGGGAAGGCATTTTGGATGAGGTTATCCCAATATACCCCAGTCGAACGGTATCGAACGGTTGTAACCGTCCATAATTGTGCCATTGATAGCGATACTATCCCCACTTCTTCTTTGCCCTTTTCTTACTGCTTGCATCTTGATCTTGGGCAATAGACGATGTAGACTTACCAGTCCTGTTAGTTCCGCGGCGACGCACTCTTTGAGTTCATTCCATTGCCAGCGGGCTCGAAAACCAGAAAAGTGTCATGGGCAACATGGCAAACAGTCATTTGCTGAAGGAATGGCACAAACCGGCAAAAACCTGAAAGTCGATGGTCTATTTTCCTGGGTTTTACTGGGGAACATGTGCTATCCAATGGCCGTTTGTTTTGAGCAGATCCGAAGCGCATCGGCTTATTACCCTCCATTGCATTGAATTGCTCCGTTTTCATTCATCTTAGTTGCTCAACCCCCCACCCTTTTTGGTGTTTTTTTCTGCTGTTTTCGGGCCAACTCATATTTTTTGATTTCTATGTTATTGGTGGCATCATCCATCGTGCATGGGTAAACTCCTTTCTTGTTGATGGGCCTGACTCTCATTTGGGGACCCCTCAGGTCAGGACGCAGGCGGGATCCCAATATCAATAATTGGCGGGATCAGTGGATTTCCAGCTTTTTTTGCTTCAAACATCTTGCAGTTTGGAGTTTTGGGACCGGTTGGTCCCCGCGCCCTTCACTTCGCCATGGTGGAGGCCGGGCTTGACGGGCCCCTCTTGTTCCAGAAGTCTCGAAGATTGATGGGATTTTGTGACAGACCGAAACTGCTGGGTAGATTTTTTGATGGCTGGTAGCTTCGCCAAAAAACGGATCCCTCTAGATCACTATGCCACAAAAACTAGGATGTCGCGAATCACGCTGGTTGGATCTGCTTGGTGTTTTTTTAAAATGATATCATCTGGTCACATGGTTATAGTTATATATATACATATATATATATAACATATATTACGTAATAATACAAATGTTTTGTTCGTTATTATCACATATTTATATAGCAGTTGCTTCGTATTTTTGTCATAGGATAACAGCAATATGGGTTACCCTTTGGTGCTCAAACATGTCTTGCCCCCCCGAGTTCGATCAATGGCCCTTTCAGGAAGCTAAATGAGATGATGAGAGGTACAGCACATCCCTTTTAGGGTCTGAAACGGCCATTGATTCGATATTTTTCCCAGCTATAAATCTCCATTTCTAGGGAATTTGACAGCAATGTTTGATGGCACTTGAGGGTAATGGGGGATGAACCTTGCAATTCATAGTCATTACGTTTCAGATTTCATCCTCCATTGATGGCCACTACTAACCATTATTGACAAGTATCTATCATTTCCAATACGTAGTATATTTACCAGTAGTACCGCACAAGGCGGTGGCGGAAGTTTCAAAAATAGGAAACGTATAGGAGAGGTTGGTTGTTGTGACTCACGGATGGTAGAGCGAATCCACTGATGGACCGAAAGGTGGTTGACTTGAGGTCTCCTGTCTTTCTCTCTCTCTTTCTCTCTTTCTCTGACTATCTACGTACTAATCTATCTATCTATCTACCTACCTATCTATTTATCTATCCAATCTAATCTAATCTAATCTAATCTAATCTAATCTATTAATCAATCTACCTATCTATCTATCGATCTATCTATCTATCTACCTATCTATCCATCCTATCTTTCCTATCTTTCCTATCTATCCTATCATCCTCTCTATCCTTTGCTATCCTATCCTTTCCTGTCCTATCCTTTCCTGTCCTATCCTATCTATCCTATCTATGCTATCTATCCTATCTACCCTATCTATCCTATCTATCCTATCTATCCTATCTATCCTATCTATCCTATCTATCTAGCTATCTATCTATCTGTCTATCTATCTATCTATCTATCTACCTATCTACCTACCTATCTATGTATCTATCTATCTATCTTATCTTACCTTTTCTTATCTTATCTATCTTATCTATCTTATCTATCTTATCTATCCTATCCTATCCTTTCCTATCTATCCTATCCTATCCTACCCTATCCTTTCTATCCTATCTATCCTCTCTATCCTATCTATCTATCTATCTAATCTAACCTAATCTAATCTAATCTCATCTAATCTATCCTATCCATCTTATCCATCCTATCTTTCCTATCTATCCTAAATATCCTATCTATCCTATCTATCCTATCTCTCCTATCTATCCTATCTACCCTATCTATCCTATCTATCTATCTATCTAATCTAACCTAATCTAACCTAATCTAATCTAATCTCATCTAATCTATCCTATCTATCCTATCTATCCTATCTATCCTATCTATCCTGTCTATCCTATCTATCCTATCTCTCCTATCTATCCTATCTATCCTATCTATCCTATCTATCTATCTATCTAATCTAACCTAATCTAATCTAATCTAATCTCATCTAATCTATCTTATCTATCCTAAATATCCTATCTATCCTATCTATCCTATCTATCCTGTCTATCCTATCTATCCTATCTATCCTATCTATCCTATCTATCCTATCTATCCTATCTGTCCTATCTATCCTATCTATCCTATCTATCCTATCTCTCCTATCTATCCTATCAATCCTATCTATCTAGCTATCTATCTATCTATCTGTCTATCTATCTATCTATCTATCTACCTATCTACCTATCTACCTACCTATCTATGTATCTATCTATCTATCTATCTTATCTTATCTTTTCTTATCTTATCTATCTTATCTATCTGATCTATCCTATCCTTTCCTATCTATCCTATCCTATCCCACCCTATCCTATCTATCCTATCTATCCTCTCTATCCTATCTATCCTCTCTATCCTATCCATCCTGTCTATCCTATCTATCCTATCTATCCTATCTATCCTATCTATCCTATCTATCCTATCTATCCTTTGTATCCCATCTATCCTATCTATCCTATCTATCCTCCTGCCAATTTCCACTACTAAATGCTATGACCTAGGTCCCGGAAAGTGAACCAAAAATTTAGTGTGAAATTTCCAGACACCATTTAGTAGAGAATCATGATTTTTCAAAAAAAATCAAGTAAACATCTCTAGACCCATGATCCACATTTAGTAGTGAGGTAAAAATGATATGTTAATCATATGATGTCAAATGTTGTTTTTTGGGTAACACCATTTAGTAGAGATGTCAAAAAAATGTTGCAAAATCACAGGAACCATTTAGTAGAGGTTGCGAAGTAGAGTTCATAAAACGGTCACAATGACACGAGACAAAACTGAAAACCCATTTAGTAGAGATTCCCATTCCGTTGCCCCCGATAGTCGTTTGGCCAATCCATGTCCATCAGGATGAATCACGTAAATCCAGATAGTATATGATAATAGATGCTCAAAAAAATAAGAAGCTTGAAAAATAAATATAAATTCTAGACTGCCAATGAATATCAAAGATATTCCTGGGTTGAAGTAAATCAACATGATCGGGTATACCGCGATATGAAACAACAGAAGTTGGACAAAGATAGCATCCTTGCGGTATCCTGCCATGCCGCCTCCAGTCTAGCCAAGTGCTGCCTCTACTAAATGGATGGTCATGGGATCAGTCTATCTAGAACTGTTTCAAACAAAGCCCTATTGCATCCTTGTGTGCCCTATAATCCCTTACGCGCTATGGAACACCATTTTGTAGTCCCAAAATGCCCAAATTCTATCAAGATTTCCCCTGTCTAGCCAAGTGCTGCCTTGCCTTTTTTGGGGGCGATGCCAAATCCCTCGCTTGGGTGTTTCTTGCTCGTCGGGTGCTGCCTTTCGTGTTTGTTTTTTTTTTGCGTTTCTTGGGGGGCGATGCGAAATCCCTCGCTTGGGTGTTTCTTGCTCGTCGGGTGCTGCCTTTCGTGCTTGGGTTCTTTTGTTGCCTTTTTTGGGGGGCGATGCCAAATCCCTCGCTTGGGTGTTTCTTGCTCGTCGGGTGCTGCCTTTCGTGTTGGGGTTCTTTTTTGGCCTTTTTTGGGGGCGATGCCAAATCCCTCGCTTGGGTGTTTCTTGCTCGTCGGGTGCTTACTAAATGGATGGTCATGGGATCAGTCTATCTAGAATTGTTTGAAACAATGCCCTGTTGCATCCTTGTGTGCCCTATTATCCCTTACGTGCTATGGAACACCATT